TATATGCACACATGTAGCTTTAGCTTCAGATACAGATAGAACCAACAGGGGAGATACAACAATACAATTCAATATATATTGAAGTGATTATTCCTTATAGATAGGACTGAATTTTCAATTCAGCAAATATTAAGCTCTTAATGTATGCAGAATATTGTGCCAATCAGGTTTCAGGAAGATAGGTCTAGATAGATACCCAAGGTCCCTGTCATTGTGAGCTTTCATTCTAATAGAAATGCCATGCGCTCTAATATAACTGCCACATAACTATGACACAATGCATGAAGTAGGAGGTTATTCACTATTAGCAAGTGTTGGGAAGAATTCATGGAGGAGGTAACATTTGAGTGGGTCTTTCAAGGAATATGAGAGGCAGGATGGCACAGTAGATAGTAGACCTCTAAGCCAGAAAGACCAAGGTTCAGTCAAGCCCAGACTTTGAAATATACTGGCTGGGTGACCCCAGGCAAATCACTTAATCTTTCAGTATGCTAGACCAGTGGTGTCAAACTCAAAAGACTGATGCAACCACTAAGCTGTACATGAGGATTCTTGCAGTCTGCAAAACAACTTGGAAAACTACACAGTAACATTATCTATGTTCTATTGTATTTTTATTTATTTTGTTAACTATTTCCCAATTACTGGGAATAATAATCTGGTTTGGAGGCACTCTGAAGTGTTGCTGAAGGGGGGTTTTACATCTCCAATCTGCAAACTCTAAATCTCTAAATTACAGAGAAGATGTTGACCTGCATTGGTAGAAGCAATTTCTTTACTTATAGGAGTTCTCCAGATTGATGAAATCACAGGTCCAATTCCTATCCCTTTAAAAGAATTAGCAGGAATTGAAGGGGAATGGTAGAAAGGAGGGGAAGGAAGAGGGAAGAAGACGTTTCAGGCATAGGGAAAAGCCTGGTAGTGATACCGTTTGCCTCCTCTTTGAATAATATAACTACTTAAAAGTTATCCCAGTTTATAATATTAGTTGTGTAGTCTAGAAATCCACACATTATAATTTACCTTGAAGAGATGAGTAAGTTGTGGTTATCCTTCTGTTTACAAACTGAGGCTCTCTGCTACATGCTTTGAAGAGATTTGTGGAGATTTAAAAGCAAAAACAAGTAAAATGTTTGCAAAACAGAGCTCCTCAGGAATAGAAACTACACAAAGTATCATTATTATTCTCTTCAATGGATCTATTTCCTTTTGTGAAAAAATTAATTTTTCCTTGAGATTACATGTTAACTGAAATACTGCATCCATCTAAAACTGCACATTTGGAAAACTGTATGTATGTATGTGTGTTTGTAACCAGGAGAAGCCTTATCTCCAGAGTTCTACAGAATCTGGTAAGGATAGCACCGGAACTAATGAGGTATGATGTATCATCACCTTTTATATAATATAACGCAACTAAAGAGCATCAATGCAATTCAATAAACATGTATTAATTAAATCAAATTGAGCATCTGGGACAAATTTATAGTTTGCTAAAGGAGTTGGTTTATGCAGAATTAGGCCACAAAGTATCTTTGACATAGGTATTTCAAAAATGAAAGTGCCTGCTGATTATTCACAAGATTAGATGAGGCCCAGACCAATGGACAACTACACCCAAAATCATTAGGTATCATAGTGTCCATGTCAATTTCCTAGGGGACAGGGGCATTGAAAGAATTGATATGCTCAAGGCAAAATTTATCTGGAGAGTTGTTTTAATGAAGATTTTGGGGGCTGGGCAAGTCTCAGGCACTCTTAAAGACTACTTTACTGTTTACCAAGTGTTCCCACATATATCATCTAATTTGATAATGTTTATAATGAGGAAAGCAGTTTCGGAAATTGCAACTTTCTGTCTTTCTGATAATATGGTCCCCTTAATGTCACTCATTGACCCACATCTCTCATTGCCTCCTGCTCTTCCTTCCTCCTTTGTTTTCTTCCCCCCTGTCTCCTCACTGTTCCCCTTCTCTGGCCCCAGGCCATTTCCTCCCTGGTTGCAGTCATATGCAATTTCAGTTGCACACTTAATTCTCCTAGTCTAGTCCCATTAGTGTTAGTCTTTTTGGTATAGGATTCTCAACTTTTTAGATCTAGGATTCTTCAGGATTAGCCAGAACTAACATCCTTGATATTTAATTACTGTGGTCTGGAAGGAAGGGGTTATTCCTAGCTTTTCCACCCTGCCCTTTAAATCTAGGCGTGAGAAGCTGGTAAGAGGACTCCTTGACTCTCCCCTATGGAAAGAGTCCTTGCCCTCTTTATCTTGAATTCACATAGAAAAACAGATTTAGAGTTGGCAGCAGATTAGTAAACTGAGGCCCAGGGAGTTTAAGTGAATTTGCTTACCTTTGTGTAAATCTAGGTACAACCTTTTCACTTTGAAGATTAAGAAATAAGTGTGTATGAATATGAAAAAGTGATCAAATAAGATCCACTCAGGAACCAAGCACTTCCTAATACAATTTGGTACATTATTTGTCTCCAGGGAATAACGCTGCAAACCTTTAAAAAATTCAAATTTGAAAAACTTTTTAAATGTCTCTCTGCCAACACACTTTTGTTGTCGCTGTCACATTTTGTCTCTTACAGCCCAGGAGTAACACTAGTAATGACATCTTTATTCTATCCTTCCAGAACCCTACATTGGGTAGTCAGAACCCATTCATCTCAGCAGGAGCCTAGAGATAACTGCCTTGGCCTCATTCCCTCAAGCTGACAATCAGTTTTCTACATTTGGATTCTTTTCTCTAAGGTGGGGCAAAGGGATAAACGTTTCCCTAGCAGATTTTTTCTGGCTGTGGTTTGAACTGAGGTTTAGGTAACATTTTTCTAAGAGCCCAGGGCCTGTAAGCAGTCCCTTCCGAGAAAAACAAACAAACAAAAAGAGCCCACTGAAACAGATGTAAACATCCTGAGGAAATGGCAAAGAGAAATAATTACCTGTGACTTATTACACTTAGTTCCCTAGGGGGCATTATCAGCACCCTACCCTTTAAATCCGCTCTCGAGTGGACTTCCCTTGAGATCCTATCTCTGCCCGGCGTGATGAAAGTGATGAACAGAAATTAAGTACTTTATCACTCCAGGAGAACCTTCAGAGAAAGTAACAATTCTCATTCCTATGATTATCATCTCTACTGCTACTAATATACCTAGCTACTAGCGGACCGCTTTGTACGTTTCATTTTGATTTTGGAGATATGTAAAACCCTTGTCATCACGGCGCTGAAAGATGGATCGTTTCAGAAAGAAAAAGTCTGAACCCTGGAGGCCGTGAGGCAATTGTGAAGTGAGAGGCTGACCCCGGTGGGAAGAAAAGAGCCGGGATATTAAACAGCGAAGGACTGAACAAAGGGAAAGAGAAATGGAGAAAAGAGCGTGTGTGGAAACGGATGTCTGGCTCCCAGGTCAGAAGCCAGGGAGGACGCGAGTGGGGGAGGGAGACGTCCGAGTTCCCGCCCGCGTGAGAGTGACACGAGGCTACTTGAGAGTTCGCGTCCCTCCTCCCTCGCCCTCCCCCAGCCAATGGGTCTGCAAGTCCTCTTCCAACCGCCCCAGGAAAGCGGTCCAGACCCCTAAGCGGTCACGCCTTCCTTCCCAGCCTGCCCCAGCCACGGCCCCGCGGAAGGCTTAGAGAGCTGTCAGGGGGCGGGAGGGATGGAAGGACAGACTGAGGGAGGGACAGGGCAAGGGAGGCGGGCACCACTGGACTCCCTGCCTGCCCTCCCCTCAGCCTTACTCCAGCCGCTGTTGCTTCGGGGCCGGCAGGTTTTGTGGACTCCCGGGAGTCCAGCATCTGGATCAGGGATGGGGACAGCTTTCTAGCCTCGAAAGGGCTGGCTCCTTCCTTATCTTTGCCTCTCCTAAAATCCCAGCGAGGACACGCGTCCTCCTTCGCCCCGCCCCCAGCTCACACCGGGGACCCAGGTCCCCCACCTCCCAGGAGACCTCCAGTGTCTCTTCAGAGGAAGAGGGCTGCACACCCCACCAGCCCCTGAGTGCGTCCACTCGGGCTGCTAGCTTGCCCATCCCATCCTCCTCCCTATTCCCAGCCTCAATCCTGCAGACGGCACAAAAACCGAGCACACGAGCTCTGCCCTGGGAGGACGCGGCTTGTAGCTGCAGACTAGGGGTGGGAGGGCAAGGCAGGCAGGAGGGCGGGCGGGCGCACGCACACCCCCAGAGAGCCAAGCTGCTGCTCCCGCCGGGGAGGAGCCTGGGGCGGCTGAGGACGGCTCCCGGGTCCAGTCTTCTTTCCGAGTATGCAGCCCTAGTCTTAAAGTGACAGCCCTCCTCCTTCCACTTAAACCCAGGGGGGCTGCACACCGCGCATGCCTCGCTTGCACCAGGCGACCCGGCGCGCATGCCCCATTCACCCGAATTGCACTAGGGCTGCTTTGCATTTGTCTGTGCAAGCTGGGCGATGGTCTGTTCCGCGGGAGTCCGGAATGAGACCGATCAGTTTCAGAAACTGATCATTATCCCTAGAGCAGGCAGGTGCTCTTTCTGACTTTAAGTGCACTCCCGGTTCTGTCGAAACAGAATCAAAATAGGTTGAAATGAAATAGTGATCACTGCTGCAGGTTGTGTGTGCGTGTGTGTGTATGTGTGTGCGCGCGTGTTCGTGAGCGCGCGCGAGTTCCGTTGCAAGCTTCTTCTATTGTCATGTGCATTTTTTTGTGAAGGTAGGCAGCTTTCCAGGCGGCGTTTCCGATTACCCGTTTTCTTTCATCTCTTAACGTTTGACCAGAATAAGTCTGCCCCCACTCAAGTTTTCTTTGTCAAGGCTTCTGTGAGGAGCGTAACGCGGGCTTGGACAGACAATAGGCCTTCCTCCAAGACGCACCTTTCCGCTTTGAAAGTGATTTACGAGGAGCAGGAAAAAGTAGTTTATGGGAGACGGTCCATTAGACTCGGGCCCCTTTATACAATTACCAAAAAAAAAAAAAGTTCAGCACGTTTCCCCCTTTAAAATAAGGAACAGCGAGGGGACATATGGAAACAATGATTTATTCCTGGTTGATAGATACAAACAAGTGTCTCGCGTCTTTATTGTTCTGCATTAGACAACAAAGAGAGGCGTTTGCGGCTGGGGGGGGAGGGGGAAGGGAAGGGAGGGGAGAAGGAAGGGAGGACGAGGGCGGGGGGGAGGGGGCGAGGAAGGGAGACTGTTAAGACATCCTCCTCCCGCCCTCTCCGCTTCCCGCCTGTCCAATCGCCTCACACAGCGATAGTGTCAGTAGCATTGTAGTGTCAGCTCCTGCCCGTGACGTTGCGGTTCCCTTATCCCCCTCTAGTGCCGTCTGGCTGCAGTGGCTCAGACTAGAGGAGGGGAGAAGAGGAAAAAACGCTGAGTGAGTGAGTGGAGCCGGGGAGGGGTTCCTTAAAGAAACGCTACCATCGCTTGGCATTGTGGCCAGGCAGGAACTCCGGGGGAAATCTCATCCTCTCCATTATTACCCCCACCCCACCCCCTCCAGAAAATTTGGGGTGGGGAACCAGGTGGGGGGATTCTGCAAGCATTTTATAAACCGGATTGCACTGAAAGAATAGATAATAAAGCAAAAAAACGGCAGCTGAGCCATCTCCAAGCAGCCGCCCTCTCTCCTCTCTCCTCCTGGCCATCTGCCTTGGGTTTTTCTTTGTGTCTGATCTTTTACTACTGAACCGAGTGCAGGAGGAGGAGGAGGAGGAGGAGGAGGAGGAGAAGGAGGGTGCAGCACACACAGGGGAACTATGCCCAGTTCGCTCTTTGCAGACCTGGAGAGGAACGGGAGCGGCGGTGGCGGCGGTGGCGGCGGTGGTGGAGGAGGAGGAGGAGGAGGCGGCGGCGGCGGCGGCGGTGGCGGCGGCGGCGGCGGCGGCGGCGGCGGAGGTGGAGAAACCCTGGATGACCAGAGAGCCTTGCAGATCGCGCTGGATCAGCTCTCGCTCTTGGGGCTGGACAATGACGAGACCGGCTCCCTGTACGACAATGAGCCCCGGAAGAAGAGCGTGAACATGACTGAATGCGTGCCGGTGCCCAGCTCGGAACATGTCGCGGAGATAGTGGGAAGGCAAGGTGGGTATTTGGAGGAAGTTGGGTGGGCGAAAAAGGCAGAGAGTGGAAGGAATTAAAAGGGGGGTGCTCTTCATGCTGGGTGGACATGTGTGGTATGATGTGTGTGTGTGTATGTGTGTGTGTGATATGCGACACTAAAAGCTGAAGTGAACTAGCGATGCTATTACGGGCAGTCCCCCCAGACAAAGAAAGTGCAGATGTGGGTTTTCCTGGAGTCTTGCTGCACCAATGCCAAGATGCACTTTCACCTACTAAAATCACAGCCCATCTCGCCCACCTTTCCCCTCCTTCGCCCCGGGAAATTTAATTTAATGGGAAATGCATTCAGGGGGAAAATGTGGTCCCTCCTTTTTAAGAGTGTGGGGGGAGGGGGAGAATCTGGAAGAGGAAGAGAAGTCAGGATTTCTAGAAACCGAAATGGAGCATAGAAGAGGAACAATGGGCCCGGGAATCAAGACCATCCGCATTGGGAGGGAGCGATCTTCTCGCAGCCACTCTCCTTTCCCCCTCCAACTGATTTGCTCTGAAGGAATGTGTTGGGCACTAAGTGTTGATCAGCATTTTTTCCCCCAGCTCACTTGTATTCGATTTTGCTTTTGAGCCCATGGCAACTGCCGTCTTTTCGAAGGGCTGGGGATCGGATGGGGCTTTTCCTCGAGCTCCAAGCAAACCCGTCCTCCCTGCGAGTGCCCCCGCTCCAGAGTGTATGCATGAGGGAGGAAACGCCAAGTCGCCCCCCATCCCGCCCCGCTTCCCGGGTCTGCAGCCGCTCACCCCCCACCTCCGCGGTTATGCCCGGATAATCGGTGTGTTTCTTTCTCTCTTTCCCTGCATCCCGGCTCCCAGGTTGTAAAATCAAAGCGCTACGGGCTAAGACCAACACTTACATCAAGACCCCGGTTCGCGGGGAGGAGCCTGTCTTTGTTGTGACTGGCAGGAAGGAGGACGTAGCTATGGCCCGGAGGGAGATCATCTCGGCCGCGGAGCATTTCTCCATGATCCGCGCCTCCCGGAATAAAAACACCGCTCTCAATGGCACGGTGCCCGGGCCGCCCAACCTGCCTGGCCAGACCACCATCCAGGTGCGGGTGCCCTACCGCGTGGTGGGGCTGGTGGTGGGACCCAAGGGGGCCACCATCAAGCGGATCCAGCAGCAGACACACACCTACATCGTCACGCCCAGCCGGGACAAGGAGCCGGTGTTCGAGGTGACTGGCATGCCCGAGAACGTGGACCGGGCTCGGGAGGAGATCGAGGCGCACATCGCCCTGCGCACCGGGGGCATCATCGAGCTCACCGACGAGAACGACTTCCACGCCAATGGCACCGACGTGGGCTTTGACCTGCACCACGGGGGCGGCGGGCCCGGCCCTGGGAGCCTCTGGAGCAAGCCTACCCCCAGCATCACGCCCACCCCGGGTCGCAAGCCCTTCTCCAGTTACCGCAACGACAGTTCCAGCTCGCTGGGCAGCGCCTCCACGGACTCTTACTTTGGCGGGGGGACCGGCGGCAGCACCAGCGCTGTGGCCACCCCGCGCCTGACGGACTACAGCCCACCCAGCCCCGCGCTCAGCTTCGCCCACAACGGGAACAACAACAACGGCAACGGCTACGCGTACCCCGGAGGCGAGGCGGCCCCCTCCCCGGACTGCTGCGCGGAGCTGCCAGGCTTCGATCCAGCGCCTGCCCCGCCGCCTGGGGCCCAGCTCATCTGGTCCCAGTTCGAGCGGTCCCCCGGCGGGGGCCCAGCGGCCCCGGTGTCCTCCTCCTGCTCCTCTTCCTCCGCGTCCTCGTCCGCCTCGTCCTCCTCCATGGTCTTCCCTGGGGGTGGCGGGGGCGCGTCCCCCAATGCCAACCTGGGGCTGTTGGTGCACCGCCGCTTGCACCCCGGCGTCAGTTGCCCCCGCCTGTCCCCGCCCCTGCACGGAGTGGGGGGCGAGCACCATCTGGCTCGCCGGGTGCGCAGCGACCCCGGCGGCGGGGGCCTGGGGTACCCCGCCTACGCCAACGGGCTGGGAGCTCACCTGCCCGGGCTGCCGCCGTCGGACTCGTCTGCCTCGTCTTCCTCGTCCAGTTCCTCGTCCAGCTCCTCGTCCTCCTCCTCGGGACTGCGGCGCAAGGGAAGCCGCGATTGCTCCATCTGCTTTGAGAGCGAGGTGATCGCGGCTCTGGTGCCCTGCGGGCACAACCTCTTCTGCATGGAGTGTGCCAACCGCATCTGTGAGAAGAGTGAGCCC